AAAACCAACTGACCGCCAACAGTATCTGCATTTCCATAGCAGTCACCCCCATCACTGCCAAACAGGTGTTCCTTACTCTCAAGCCCACAGATACAGAAGAATTTGCTCTGAAATCACGCAATTTGACACCCACGCACAGGAATTGAGAGCAGCCTTCTTGCGTCAAAAGTACCCCGAAAAAATAATTGACGATGCAATTGAGCGCGCTCGCTCTTTGGACCGAGAATCAACAATGGGAGAAAAAGGCGGGAATAAAGATGATATAACTTCAGGGGCAAATTTAATCCTCACATACTGCGCCGCCGCCCCTCGGGTGAATTCTATACTAAACCGCCACTTCAACATACTTAAACAGAATAGTCGCCTCTCTGCCGTTTTTCAGACTCCGCCCAAGGTGGATTACCGAATAAATAAAAACCTGAGAGACTTACTGGTCAGGGCGAAAACACACAAATCCGACCACCATCAGGGCTGTAGACCGTGCGGGAAACCTCGCTGCAGGGTGTGCACACACATGGTGACCACAGATACGGCCGAAGCCTCCTGTTCAGACTATGTGTACAAAATTAAAGACGACCTTAGCTGTGACTCAGCCAATGTGGTATACAAAATTTGCTGTGAGGTGTGCAAACAGGAATATATTGGACACACGGAAACCGCGTTCCGTTTGCGTTTCAACAACCACAGGGCACACGTAAAGGGCCTCCCCAATTTGCCGTTCTCCAAACATATCAATCTTCCTGGTCACTCTTTCGAACGCGTAAGTGTCATACTCCTACAATCCGGCTTCCAGAACACAAGGAGCGCGAACAGCGGGAGTCATACTTCATAAAGAAATTCAGATCACTTACCCACGGAATCAACGAGAGCCCTGGGCGACTGACGTGCCTCCGCGATGTTTCGTGAAAAACAGAAATTGAATTACTCAATTAACTTATTTATACATACGTGAAGTCGCACACGTAAGTTGGTCAATATAGCGCGTGAAACTAAACGAATTCGATGCTACGTGATCCAAACGGCGTGTGTTAGTATTATTAGACTTCATTTTCATTTTTGAGTACTTTTTTAGTATTATTTAATTTTTATATTTTTTGTTGACGTTTTTGTTTGTTCATCCTTTACAAGAATACCCATTCATTTATTTTCAGTATGACTGGTTGTACAGTTTTCTGCAAGAGAGGGCAGCTGGAGGCAGGGGGAGAGGGCACATTAGCTTTCCAACGTGGCCATGATTTTCCGAAAGCTGGAGCGGGTCGTATGCTTCTTGTGTTTGTGTGTGTGTGGCCCGATGCCGCGGGCCAGCCGCCGAACCACGTGAACTTAAACTCGATCCATGTGTGGGATGCGAGTAAGCGGCAACATGTTTCACATTTTTCCGTTTTTCTTAGTCGCCTCCGCTGGCGGCGCGTCTTACCTATACCCAGTAACAATGCCAGAATTATCCGCTCGTTCCCGGCGGCTCTCCGTCGCTCCTTACCAGTTCCTCTCCTTCTTCTGCATCTTGTTGTCTGTTGCTACCTCGTTCGCCCGTTTGTCTCGTTTTTTTTTTTTGTGAGGGTCTTCAAACTGTGAGGGTGACCCTCTGCTACGGGAACTTGTACCATTTCACTCGCATCCTCCGAAGAAGACTGGTCCACCAGCCGAAACTGTTAGGATTAAATAAATATTTTATTGTTTTGTTTCCTATACTGCACTATTCTCGAAATTTATAACTATATATATATATATATATATATATATATATATATATATATATATATATATATATTGTGTGTGTGTGTGTGTTTTGCCTACGCTCTGGCGCCTGATGCAACGTAATTATACATTTCCACTACCGTATATGGAAATATTTGCTTTAGTACGTTTCACTGCAATACGGGTGCTTCCTGTGGTCAGAGTCCTTGTGGTGAAGACCACTAAATGCTGGAAAAGTTACTCGCCATGCAGTGAAGCTTAACACCCACCATCAATACCTTATATACATTTGCAATATTTCAAACTACTGCTTTGAGAGCTCATTGAAATTCGATATTATGGGCTTCAACTGCAGTAACAAATTCAGGTATTTGCATGGTGTGCAAGACATTTTTTGCTTCACTGAAGTCCATCGCAGCACAAAACACACACATGTGACCAAACCCTGTACTCAGAAATAAGGTAGATGCATGATATGAAACCATCTCTTGTCTTCAACAGAGCTGCTGGCGTTATCCTAGTACCCGAACTCGCCCAAGAGAATAAAGTGAGCATCTTGGACACGTCAATGTCGCACGTTCCTTTATTCAGACTTACGTGTCGTACTTTAAATTAAACAATATTGCTAAGTACACGGTGACACACTATAATAAGGCTCCAAGATGAAGCAATACTTTGTGATATAAGCAATATAAGTTTATAAAGCAGCACTAAAGTGTCTGTTGGATTGGATTAGAGTAAGTAGGCAATGGTTGAATACGTGACCAACTTATTCTAGTTCCTACTATAGTAGGGTTAGTGGTATCATGTTATACCAGTGTAAATAGAGGGGCATTTCAGCAACGTAAACCAGAAATTGTCGCCTCTAAATGTCAAAGTTTCTCATTGCCTTTCGCATGAGGGGTGCTTCAAAAATTTTCAACCAGAAGCAACACAGGCAAGTTAATGCTCAGCTGCTGCATTGCGCACCAAGTATTTTCATATCAGGGCAGTAAAGATGAACCAGATATAAAACCTGATTCAGCAAAATGTTCTTTATTACCATTTCTAGCTAGCTTCTTTCAAAGAATGCCTTCAAATATAGACAAACCAGAACGGAACAAAAAAGCAGCGTGACTTTTGATTCCATCTTTTTTTAAGGAAGTCATGTCATCGTGAGACATTTTACTATTTCCTGTTGAAAAGGGCAAAAAACGCGGCCTGTTGCTGTTGCTTCGTTTTGATTGTAGTGAAATGCATTGCATGTACGTTTGTATTAGGGTCTCTGCACACGTGAATTTCCTCGCACCTCCGTGCGACTAGTGTATTCACGTGTAGACCAATTTATCTTATCTCTGCATTCTCTATGCTCTCTTTTTATGATTGTGTGGAGGTTGGAGTACAACTTTTGCATTGATAAGGCGCTATCCCAAGCTAAGCTGCCAAATGAGTGTGCAGCAACAGTGGTAAAGCTCATCATTGGCTCAGCTGTATCTTTTCTCAAACTCCTATGCTGGATATTCCTGTTGAAAAGTGCTCAGAAAATTTATCCTATACACAAAGCAGTGATAGTCGGATCGATTCGAAGCATTGTTCATCTGACCATGATTTGATCCCCGAACATTTGTTAGAGCATTCTTTTCTGCGTCGCTTCATCATCAGTTAAAATAAAGCTTTATGTACGTACTTTTGCTTCTTTCTATCCATCAATAACGGCCAAATTAAAATAGCAGCATATAATAAAATGCTACTGTAGAATCATTAAACAATAATCAGAAGTGTCATGAGAATCAGCAGGGCACTCATCAAGGTAAGCTAGGACTACAGTATATTGGTACGCATGTTTAGCGCTTTATTTTGATGTTCTATGGTTACACACGCAAGGACTGTTAATAATACTGAACACAGACTGCGCTCTCATGCTTGAGAAGCTTCGTGATTGTTCAAGATCATTCAGCTAAGATTACGCACAGGACGCAAATAATCAAGCTTACTGGATAGCTTATGCAAGCACCAGTGATGAGGCTGGAAGAGATCACACCATACATCCCACCATAGATCAGATTACCCAGTGGGCGGCGACTGTTCACGTCACTATCAGTCTACAGAGTGGATCACTTGCACCTTGCAATTCTATTTTCCAGGCACAAGCTTCCCCAAATAAAAAATTGAATGTTTAGTCTACAACACGTCGGCTGCTGCCATAGTCAATGTCATGATCACGTAACAATGTGAGGGCATAAACAGTAAATCTAAGAGACGGTTGCATGTTTCTTGGCAGTGTCCAGTGAGTTGTTCATCAGACAATGTTAAGACTGCACTGAGCTACCAGGCACACTTGTAGGAATTTATGTACTTATCTAACATATCTCCCCAAGTATACGACGTCTTATATAAGAATTTGCACATTTTTACAATTTTCTTTTCTCAGAGGCTTGGTTGCTGCTCTTTCCAAGAACATCGTTCTGACACAGAGTTATATGCTAGTTATGTTCTCTTTTCTCTGTTCTCGGGTTTTTTAGTTAGTGAAATAAACAGCAGAAAAATTTCAGCCAATGCTTTTCACGGGGCTTTAGGCTGCCCTTCCTTTTTTTTTGCAATATTCATCAAACAGGAGAGGTACTGATAATTTCTCATCATGTTTAAAAATTACACAGTGCTTCCTTTTATTTTATCGTGTTGTGGTTGTCATTCTTGCATTTTTCTGGATCTTTGTACTATCTGGAGTACCCTGTCATATTTATATTAACTTACATTAGTTTAAAGCTTCAATTCTACTCATTGTCATTCTAGTTACATTTTGCACAAGGTTACATCAATACACGATTTAGTGCTAGCAAGTAATTCGTTGTGGGTGCAGCGCAAGAAACGTAGATGAAAAAGAGATGATTATGATGATATGTGGCGTTTAACGTCCCAAAACCATAATATAATTATGACAGACGCCGTAATGAAGGTCTACAAAAATTTTGACCACCTGGGGTTCTTTAGCGTGCACCCAAATCAAAGCGCACGGGCCTACAACATTTCCGCCTCCATCAAAAATGCAGCTGCTACAGCCGGGATTCGATCCCGCGACCTGCGGGTCAGCAGCCGAGTACCTTAGCCACTAGATCACCGCAGCAGGGCAGATAAAAACGAGGTTCTCCTTTCTTCCGTCTAGGTTTTTCGTGCTACAGCCACAATGAATACTCACAGCCTAGCCTAATTTTATTTTCTGTTTAGGCATGTAATATCAAAAAGAAATAATTTCCTGATTGAATCTGTGAGCAATTTTTCACTCCTGTGTGGTCTTTGGAACTTTCTCGAGTAAAATATCTTGATAAATGCAGCACAGTAGCATTCATAAAACACGATATACATACTACTTGAGGCATTGTGTTAAATTACAGGGTCACAGCAGATTTTTACACAGTTTTTGTTGCGCATCAGCTCTGCCGTTTCTGCTCAATTCCCCAGAGCTCCGCACTTTTAGACACAGTTGCCTTTTGTTGTTGCGGAGGCGAGGATGGTGCCACTTCAACATTTTCAGAGTCTGGAGAAATTACTAAATCAGCCTGAAAAAATGAAATGAATATTATCAATTAACACTAGCAATAGTTGTACAAGAAACAAAGTTGTTACATCTTTAAGCAAGTGAAAATGTTAAACATTCCAGTCGGAATGCTATCAAATGGTAAAGTTGAAGTGAAAAAACCCTCATAAAAGCTTTTTTTGCAAAAGTGTGCCCCTCAGTCATAATTCTGCACTTTTTATTACAGGGCTCATAACCAGGCCCAGTTGTAATATTTGATTAATTATTTTTTTTAGTTCAGCTCAAGCATCTCTTCTAGGTTTTGTCAATTTTCGACCAGTCATCTGTAAATTACTCATATTCTAATGGCCAGATAATAAGTGACAATGTCGTTACACTAAGTGTATTGCCATGCGTATGCCGTGCAAATTTAAGCGATCACGTTTTAAACCAATAGGAACCAGAACTTCTTGCAGCAATAATGTGTGTAAGGGAATGCACTTAAATCGCTTGGCTCACACAAGTTAACACATTACTCTATTAGAAAAGATAATTAAGGATTATTCTATCAATTGTACAACAATGCCAACAGTCAGCAATTCCGAGTTTCAAAGGGTACAATAGAGAACAGAGCACAACGGAGAACAATGTTGCTTTCTTATATGACAAAATTAAAAACAAATTTGAAATGCGGATGTAAGTAGGTAACTCCCAGCAACTGGAAAATTTCATGCATTACAAACACTGGAGTTGTCAGACGACTATAGGGAAGCAACTGCAAATGAAGCTACATAGCCATTTTCTGTATACGAGTCATTCACATCACAGCAATGAATTCACTCTTTCACTGAGTGATTTGATGGAGGACATCATAAAAAAACTAAGATCTGCAAGACAATTAAATTACCTGAAATGTTTTAAAATAGATCCTTCACAAGGACTGCTGCGGAATTTATATAGTAGTCTACTACGATGCACTACCGAGCAAGAGATCCATTGGTGCAATTTCATGCATTAGCATTGCTTCACATTTTGCATGCATAGGACAAAAACAAAACACAAAACTGGATATCCCTCTTTCATATTTATGTCACCTTTCGTTTTTAGTTGACATAACCTAATGAGTCTGTTGCCAAAAAAACTTGACCCTGAACAGCTGGACGAAAGATGCAACCCCAATGCTGTGTTTTTTTTCTGCACTGCAGCCTTTTCCTTTGTGTTTCTAATATACTGAACAATACTAAATTATTTTTGTTCCAGCCTAATAGTATTATAATTATGCAGCATATGTGTAACATACTTTCTGATGTCTCTTGCCTTGTTTGCACTAGCCATCATGAGTATCTTTCAACCTGCTCAATTTGATACACTACTACGAGTATGCATTCATTAAATTATGTAGTCGTCCGGCATTAGGCAAAATGCATGCATTCTCACAGAAAAATTCAATCAATCAAGAGGGTATAAAAAAGCAGCATATAAGCATAAAAAATGCAGTATATATATATATATAATATATATATATATATATATATATATATATATATATATATATATATATATATATATAATATGCAAAATGAAAATGCATGATTAATGTGAATAATAATGGCTACAAAATTGTGGCATTCCAAGTGAGCGAAGCAAATACTTACTTTTACAGTTTTTGTACTAGATACAGGTGAGAAAAGTGCTTTCATTAGTTTCACATCCTCCTGTTTGGAAGGCTGAAAAAAAATGTTACGCGAGAGGATCACATGCTGATGTCCCCATGACAACGTTCTTATCCCGCTAAGTATTGTGCAAAGTATTGAACCATTAAGATCTACCTGCAGACGTGACAAATTCTAGAACTCATCATACGAGGTTACGTAAAGTCATTACAACGGGTCCACTTTCTCTTGAAATAATATTGACAATCAAGATTGTTGAGATAAACTTCAAAACTTAAATTCTGCTGCTTCACATAGCAACACCAAGGGATTTCCGTGTGGATGTTAGAATAGCTCAATGAAAACAAGAATTATATATATAGTACCTTGGTGCCATACATTCATTTTTGACTGTGGAGAAAGATTCGAAAAGCTAGCAACAATTGCAAACGTAGCACAGGTGCCTGTAGAAGTTGCTTTCCAATACTTTCAACTCTATCCGTAGTGGCAAAATAATCAGTAACAACCAAATTCCATGAGCCTTGGGCAAGTTTCAGTGCTGTTCTTTGCACTCAATATCTTGGCAAATCAATACTTCATATCTCTTTTGGAGAGCAGCTTTTACCTGCAGCTGTCCTTCATCAAACTATTGATGAAAAATAACTACATTATTATTATTATTATTATTATTATTATTATTATTATTATTATTATATTATTATTATATTATTATTATTATTATTATTATTATTATTATTATTATTATTATTATTATTATTATTATTATTATATCTTACGACAGTTAAATATTATTGAGACAGTTGATATTTCACAAGTTCTATGCAGTGATGCACGATGCATCACACTAGCCAAGAGCGACATTTCGGAAATATACTCTCGTTTGTAGTCTTCACACACGTCCAACACTAACATGTAATGCTTATTGATGCTAGATAATAAGCTGGGCTCGAATCCACAACATGACTCAAGTTTCTCTTTCCATTCTTCTCAGATTTGAATGCACCAGCAACAATGGCTCTTTCATTAAAGAAGCCATGTAACACCTTTCTGAATCATAATGAAACGCCCTCACTTTAGTACATGATGCTTTAAGAACCACAGGCCACAAAAATGTTAAGAATACGCCAAGTACGAGCTGAGTTACAAGAATTTTTCGCACACTTCAAGTGCTTTCTCTGTTCTCTCATACCAGCGAGCGCACTGAAAACTGCACAAAGAGGTTGTATGAAAAGGGGCAAGAATATGTGTCCCTTTGGCAGCACGTGCCGTAATCTCGAGCCATCTCTTTTCTTTTTTTTTCCCCCGAGCACGTTCAGTGTGATTGCAAACATGCACGCAGGCACATGGCGGCAGCTTGCGGTGGCCACAGAAACTGCAGCTTACGACGTGCAAATCGGCCAACGGTGGTGACTTTAGGTATACTATGGTGCAGAAACTTGCGTACGCACCATCGCTCGTACAGGAAGAGGGAGCGATCTTTAGCGGACTTTGAGAATTGTAAATTTCAGGCTGCACGCTGCACTGTAACATTTCCCTCGCTTGTTCTCGTGAGCCTCGACTACCGCTCGGCAGAGTGCTCTTACCATGCTCAAGAAATGTTGCAGGGCCCCCTTAAGTTTTTCAATGACAGGCCTAGCAACCAACAGCCGTATTGATAGCGGAGCGCACATTCTTCACACCATATTATCAGCACATATCTACGCTGCATTAAGCAACAATCACGAACTAATCCGACAATACCATGGAGGCAGCCAGGGGTGTTTGACATCTCAGAGCAATGCGCAGGTGACAATCACTTGTCAAGAAACTTTGTAATCAGGTTGACAAGAGAAGGCTTTCCAAACTCGTGGTAATTGCTCCCTATTATAATAGAGCCATTTATGTCTGTCTGTGGATTCACCCCTCACTAGAATACCTTGGTAAACAGTATTTGGCCTTTGCAGCAGAACACCCTATATACAAGGAATTCATAGGTGGCATATGTTTGTATGTTGTAGGGAGCGTTGCAAGGCCTTGCTAGAAAAACAGAGAGCGAGCGGCCTATGGCGCGTGGCTCGAAGCAGCTGTGAGACACATACCTGTCTGACCCGAACCTTGCAGCAGTAAAGATGTCTGTATTGTTTGCCGCCTTGCATGTCCTCTTCAAGGGCTCCAGCTGACCGCCAGCCTAGAGCCCACTATGTTAACTACACATTAATATCATAGTGTGATACCAATAACAACTCATAGGGTAGTGAGTGTGCTGTTTTTAAAAATGTTGCAGTTTCACCGCAAGCGTGAAGCAATGAATTCCAGAGCCACAAAATGCAGTGTTATATGAAGTAAGGCAAGCAGCTAACTCCTTTAGCCTCTGACCTGGTGCAACTGAAGAGAACGCTGGCGTAAGAAAACATGGGAATCGGGAAACCTGGGAATCACTGCAGTGAGTGACATGACCCTAATGCTGTCTATCACTTCAACACTAACTGGGTTGCGCATATGCTGTGTCATAACACAGACTATACGAAGGAATAGCTATCTGCTGATTCTTGTCAAGACAGGGCACACACAACTGCAGCCCGCTGCTCAAAGTATATAGCTCCTGCGAAAGCAGCGCAGTTCCTCTCCTAGAACAACCGTTATCTTTTGCATGATGGAAAACAGCGAGTGTGTTTTCTCGCCGCTTGAGCAACAATGGTTGGCTGCCTTCACACTCTTTCACTAGCAGTTAGAACACATGATGTGAACAGTGATGTTACCACCCTTGGACTTCACATGAAACCTGATGGCAATGACAAAAATGCTCGTTGAAGGTTCACATTTATCCCAGTAAAATTTCAAATAGTAGCACATTTGTTCTGAAGCATACAGCATCATACTGTCAATAGAAGAAAAAATAAATGAGTTGTCATTTCGGATAACTACAAAATATGCGTGTTGGTAAAGGTCCATGATGAAAAAAAGCGCGACTTTTTGTGTCTTCGCAAAAGCTGCCCTTTTTCCATCAGTTGTAATGGATTGATCGAATCTCTTGTGGCCTCACTATCCTTTCGATAACAGTTGAATCACCAGAACACGAAGAAACTGATTTTTTTTAGTGCACAATCACTACATGCTGTAAGTATTGTGTATACAAGACAGACAACAGCTTTAAATAAATAAGAAGGACCCATGCATTATGGCAACTGGTATATGTGAACCTTTTTTTCTGGTGCTTACATCAACTCGTGCTGAATGGCACCAATTTCATTGCCACAATTCGATGCTACTAGAAATATATCAGTGCTGTCAGTGCCGGTGGAATGTATGTAAGGTTCAATAAAAAGCTACTTACATCAGCGCTTCTGCTTTCAAGTGTGGCATATTTCTGCTCTATGCTCTCACTTTTTCTCCGGCCCATTGCTGACCATGGGCTTGTCTTTGCAGAGCTAAATGTATAGAGAGAAGAGATGAGGAGAAAGGCTGGCAGGCTAACTAGATATTAGCACCCGGTTTCAGAGCTAAATGTATGGAATGATAGCATAGTCATGTAGTTAGAAGGTATTTTTTAGAGTAATATTTTAAATGTAGCTGGAAGCAGCCCACTTACAGATTTTTGTTAGTACAGTTACTTGATCACAAGAGACTTGCTTAAAATTATTCCGTACGAAAGATGGCACCATTTCTTTTATTTCAACCTCCTAAAAGTCTACATGAAGGCCCCTCATTAGGTCTGCTGATTTTAAGAAAAGTGCAATGTTCACACTAATGATCGTGTCAAGAGTTACATTGCTATGTGCCGAGGAAAAAAAGGTACAGTTTCGAGCTTAACGTCCTCTACTCTTCTCCTCACTGTTGCTGGGCTCCACGATCAGGCAATGATGCAAGTAAAGGTAGCGTTATGTATGTAAAGATGCTGCACCATAAAACCTTCATGTCCTCCTCACTTGCTGTTCCATGCAACAAGCACGGAGCAGCATAAACGACAGAGAAATGAGAAGGTCGCATTTCGCCCATGCATCGAGACGTGCCCGTGATGTTATGATGCCAGTGCGTCGTGTGATCCCCTGGCTCCCACGCGAGAGAACGCAGTGGAGGAAGTTTGGCTTGCGAAGGCTAGACAGTGCATGTGGCAACGGTGCGAAGCTTGCCTCCTCACATAGTGGTAGCACGCCGCTTCAAAATATTTTTCATTCCTGCTTGTAATGAACTACTTTTGAAAATTCTTTCAGTAGAATGCTTTCTGTTGGACACGTTATAACTTCCAGTGCAAAACTAAAATTTGCTATGTGGTCTGGCAAAGGGCCCTTCAATGTAGCGTCAAATCAGTGTAAAATATCAATTATGTAATGCCATGAAAAAAGTTTCTAAAGCAAGTTTTGTTACAAGGTTGGACAATGTGCTTAACACAGTATAATCCACACAAAAAATTGCCTGCTGAAGTTATGATAGGCTTTAAGAGCATGATTCTTTTTCAACTTCTAAACACAAGGCAGATGTAGTGCAGTTCTTGAGAGCATAACTCAGTTTTAGCAGGCCAAGAATGTTGCTAGAGAAAAAGACATTGTGAATGTATAGATTCATTGTTTTTCTGCAATCGAATTATGCCATAGCTACTGATCCTCAAAATTACACTAATATATTGGTTTTGGAGAAACAAGAACAACCTTGTTTTACCTCTCAGCCATAGGTACATCAGATGTGAATGAAAGGTAATCTGGAGACAAAATATCCATGTCTGATACTGAACAGCCACTAACATCCAAAGTGGACACAGCGGTAGCTGCCGCCCTCACATCTGAAAAGCAAAGCACAGGCTTCTGTCAACATGCAAGTAAAAAGCACTGGTGGTCGGTTGAGACTAGTACAAAAAGAAAATGAAAATTTTACTATGCTCACTTATCACCCCTGTGTTTCAGCTTTTCTCTCTTTTTTTTCAACTTTGTTGCAGGAGGATGAATTTCAATCCTGAACATCACAACAACCAAGCAACCGCCATATGAACTTCTTTCTACAAGCCATAGCTCGACAAACATGAGTGGAACTCACTAAGACTCACTCAAGAAATATATCTTGCGCTTTGAACTCACTCGGAGTCAGA